GGGACACCTTCCACTAGCCCACATTGCTCCAAACGCTGTCCAATCTGGCCTTGGACACCTCCAGGGATGGGGCAGACCCAGCCTCTCAGGGTAACCTGTGCCAGGGCCTGAGCACCCTCTGAGCAGTCTCAGTTTTCTCTCTTGAGTAAATCTCCCCCAGTGGTTCAGGATTTCCTTCTGTTCTTTCCCACTGTGTTTCCCTGCCCGTGTCCCTCATCTGCCTCAAACTGTTGTGGAGCCATCTGTAGGTCCTTCATGGGTGTGGGTCTGTCTGTGGGTGCGGGTCCTGGGGAGGATTCATCCGTGAGTCCGTCCGTGTGTCCGTCTGTGAGTGCAGGTGCTGGTGCGGGCTGGGGTGCGGGTCTGTCCGTGGTGCGAGTCCCAATTCGGTCCGTCCGTGGGTCTGTCCGTGTGTCTGTCCGTGGTGCGAGTCCCAATTCGGTCCGTCCGTGGGTCTGTCCGTGTGTCTGTCCGTGGTGCGGGTCCAGGTTCGGTCCGTCCGTGGGTCTGTCCGTGTGTCTGTCCGTGTGTCTGTCCGTGGTGCGGGTCCAGGTTCGGTCCGTCCGTGGGTCTGTCCGTGTGTCTGTCCGTGGTGTGGGTCCAGGTTCGGTCCGTCGGTGGGTCTGTCCGTGTGTCTGTCCGTGGTGTGGGTCCGCGCCCGGAGCCGCCGCGCGGGGGCAGGCGGAGACCGCGGGAGGCGATGGGGCCGGGCTATCGGTCCTGCGGGAATCTCCGGGATGGACGCGGAGCAGGGGGAGCCCCGCGGGTCGCGCTCCCCTCGGAGGGGCCGGGGGCTCTCCGGGGAGCGGTGGGACCGACGCAGGGCTAAAGGGAAGGAATGGGGCCGAAATGGGCTCTGAGCGCGCTGAGGGGGTGAAGGCGGGACAGGGATAGCGCAGGTGGAGGATGGGCCCACGAGAGGGTGCAGAGAGGAACGTGCCCTGGGACCGGGTCCCCAGACTGTTCGCAGACTTCCCCCTCCGAGCTGGGGCTCCTGTTGGTGTCCTGCCCGGAGCCGGGGCTGGGCCGTGGGGATGGACCTCCCTGCCCGCAGATCCCACGGACGGACACATCCAGAGTCACTCCCGTGGGTGCTGCCTGTGGCCAGCGCCAAGAGCATCCCCTTCTTGCTGCTGCCAGGAGCATCCCCTTCCGAAGCTGTTTTGCCCTCATGTCGGGTTTGTTCCCGGTCTCCCTCGCTCCGGTTCGTCTCACTGGAGACGCCCGTGTGAGAGCGGCATCTTTGTTTCGGGTGTGCACGCCCCACCTGCCACCAGCATCCCCTCCTGGGCTGCCGTGGTTGCCGGGGTGATGGATATGATGTGATAAACAGAGGGAAAGGGGGATGACGCCAGCTGGGAAAGGGCAGAATGGATTTTATTTCACGTTTATTGAAGCACAAATTGCCATAAGAACCAACTTCCTCGTGAGCAAACAAGGGAAACCGAGACCCTCTGGGCTGTGTTGGTCTCTCTGGGCTCCAAAGCAGCCTGTCAGCCAACATCCCTGACCTGCTGCTTGGGCCAAGCTGGGGGTTTTCCATGAAAATGTCTGTTTACATTTGGAGACAGATCTTGGGGTGTTTGGGAAGGCTCTCCTGGCCAGTGTGAGGCTGGGATGGCCACAGCAGGATGCTCTGCTGGGAGCTGCAGCACGGGAGGCAGGGACTCCAGGGGGATCAGGAGAGCTCTGCCACCTCTGACCAAGCTGGGAGGAGGTTCCAGAAGAGATCATGGCCAATCTAACA